GAAGGAGCTACTCAGCCTCACTCAGAAAAGACTTCTTATCCAAGGGGACATTTGAGCTGGGTTTTTAAGGATGAGTAGGAGTTCACCAGGTGAAGGGGAAGAGATGGTTTCTTCTCCAAAGTCCCTTCCAATTGGACATGTCTGCAAATAAGCTGTCCTGGCGTAATTGGATATCCCCATTGCAAAAAAGAAAAAAAAATTCATTTCAAACTCTATGTATAAATTGACCAAAAATGGACCATGAACCTAAATTTAAAACTTAAAACCATAAGATTTCTAGAAGAAAACAGGAGAAAAATATCCATAACCTTAGGTTGAACAAAGACCAAATTCATGTAACGCCAAAGTCGCCGTTCCTAAGAGAGCAATCAACTCCATCAAAAGTAAGAACTTCTGCTTATTGCGCCTAATGTACAAATTGAACTTTATCGCTGGTGTGTATGTGTAGGGAGACAAAGACACGGAATGTAGGGAAGGGGACCATCTGCGGTGGCCGCCATCTACGGGGGACGGCAGACTGTGTTCTCCACGCAAAAAAGGCGGGGAGTGTAGTGTCCACGTTTAGCAGACTGAACGTTTTAAAGATGAACTTTTATCTTGTATCAAATTCCCCTTAATAAAGCTGCGGCAGGCGCACACCACACACACACACACACACACACACACACACACACACAGGGACATTGATGGGTTGGTCCTCAGGCATCCAGTTCAGCTCCGGGCAGGACTGGGAACCTCCCCTCACCTCACAAGGGCCCAAAGGCTGCTGGTCCAGGGATCACACTTTGAGAAGCACAGGGAGAGTCTCCTGCGGTGGCTGAGGCCCCGGCTCTAGCTCTGAAGCCCAGGGCTCATTCTCTCCTGTCCTCTGCCCGCATGACTGAGGGCCACCAGGAACCCAGACTCTGACCCTGAAGGCAGAACTGGAGAAGCTCAGCCGTTGCAGGGGCTTCGCATCTAGCTAACGAGTTCTGGCCCAGCCTCTCGCTCCATCCACACGGGCTGGTGGTTTTCCTGTGGTTTCCGGGGAGAAAAAGGGTCCAGGCCAGGACCCGGGAGCCCTCCTGTCCGACCTGTCTGTTCAGAGTCTGCTGAAAGGACCCGTCCTGGCGGGAGGGAGTCCAGGCGTGTTGGAAGTACTTTCCTGCTCCCTTCCCCCTCTTGTGTGTTTCTATGGGGTGTTTCTTAGACCAGTTGAATTGTGGGAAGTGCTGGGTGTTTCCCTGTCCTCTCCGGCTGCCCAGCAGGTATCCAGAGAAGGCTCCCTCTGTTCTCTGGAACAAGAACCAACTCTGAAGCTCCACGGGGCTTTCAGACAAGCTTCAGCTGGTTACCGGAGTCGGCCGTTCTGGGACTGTCTCTTTAAGGGAATCTGAGGGTCAGCAAGTGCCCCCCAAGAAGAGGACTTACTAGGCCTGAGTCCCCAAGATGATCAGGTTAGCAGATATTGTAGGGAGACCTTCTTCATGCTAAGAAAACACCTGTTGAAGTTTAGCCGACACCTTGCATTCATTGTCCTCCTTTGTCCTTCTGACCACTCCCCTCCCCCCCAACTGGGATGGATTCTCTTGTGTTTCAACTGTAGCCGGGATTCCATCATCCCCTGTTGATTCACGGACGACCCTGGAGCGTAGGGACAGCCGGGCTCACCTCTGGGACCAGCACTTGATCAGGGTGGCCTTCACCAGGAGACTTTACCTCCCAGGGCCTCAACTGCCTCATTCCTAAAGTGGGGCTTGTAACAGCCCCCCTGGTACCCAGATTAAAGGAGATACAGCCCACAGCCCTGGGACGGTGCCTGGCCCTGAACCAAGGGCACGCTTAAGATTATTCAGTATTTTGGGTATGGCGGCGTGTGTGCCTGTAATCCCAGAGATTAGGGAGGCTGAGGCAGGAGGATCAAAAGTTAGAGGCCAGCCTCAGCCACTTAGCAAGGACTTCAGCAACTTAGTAAGACCCTGTTTCAAAATAAAAAATACACAGGGCTGGGGTGTGGCTCCGTGGTTAAGCGCCCTGGGTTCAGTCCCTGGAACCAATAAAAAAAGGTCATTCAGACCCTCATGGGTGGCACTGGAGCCGTGGCAGGGCAGGGCCTGCAGGGACCATTCCCTCCTCCTGGACACACCGTCCCCAGCATGTCGGTTGGTGGCGTGGGCCATGTTTTCTCTCTTACTGGCTCCATCTCTGTTCTCCCCACTTTATATTTTAATGAAATATCTGCTTCCAAGAGTTGATTGATGCACACACCCTGTAGGACCATCAGGGCCAAGGGTCCCCAAAGACGCTGTCACGCAAACCAGAGGGAAATCCAGAAACTTAGGCGTCCCCCGGGAAAACCCAGCGGTGGCGTTTCTAGACTGTCTTCTAGGGTTTTTCTTGTGAATATCTGACGTAGTTCGGGACACGCCCTATGTCACCGGAGCTTTCATGAACGGTGTTTTGGTGGCCAGGCCTCATGGCGGAGCTGACTCCTGGGCTTTCCCTTCCTGTGTCCACGTGCAGCCACTGAAACCTTTTGTCTGTGGGGCCCAGTAGGGCAGTAGCCCCTATCTGGAGGCCACAGTGCCCTGGCTCTGGCTCTGGTCCTCTAAGGAGATGCCCCGTGTCACTGTCCGCCTGTCATCTCCCTGGTGACACTCTTCCTGGTCACACTGTTGGCCGGATCCCCTGGCCCTAAGTGCCCAGGCAGCGGGTGTCTTGCGCATCCCGTCACTGCCCAGTGCCCCAGGCCTCACCCTCAACCAGGCAGACAGCGAGGGCGAGGTAAATGTTTGTTGAGTGAATAAAGGGACGGGCAGACTCATCCCCTCCTGGCAATGTGCCACTCCTCTGCCGCGGAGCTTGGCAGGGACCTTGAATCCCACCTGTCTCCAGGGGCCTCCTGGGGACCCACGGCCTGGGGCCTGGGAGCTGTGGTGGTGGCTGGGAGCACAGGTGGGGCGAGGAGTGAGGTGCTGAGCCCCCAGTGTGGTGCGGGCCGGCTCTTGGGGGCCCCCTCTGCTCACCGACGGCCAGCTCTGTCCCCTGGTCCTCGGCCTGCGCTGGCGCTGGGGGCCACATTTCAGCTTTTAAACGAACCCCCTTTGCGGTCCGCTAGGCGCAGGCGGTCTGCGAGCACACAGCTTTCTTCTTGTTTTCTTCAGCCGTCGGCTGTGGAGGGCAGTTTTCCTGACCCAAGGACAGGGCGTCCGCTGCTCGTGCCAGAGGCGCTGCTGGGGCCTTCTCTAGCCTGATCCTCCCAGGGCTCTCTGAGGCAAGGAATGATCGAGATCAGGTCAGATCCCTCTTTTAGGAGGAGCAGCAGGGCTCAGAGAGGCGCGTTGACTTGCCAAGGGCACACAGCTTTTCGTGGCAGAGGCAGGACTGCGACTCAGGGGGGCCTGACCCCCATCCTGGCCCTCTTGCTCTTCCCATTCTGTCATCCCAGCCCCCAGTCCTGACTGAAGACCATGCTCCCTGGGGTCCGACCTATCGTGTGTCCTCGGGTCACTTGGTCTTTCCCAGCCTCTGTGTTTCCACCTTTAAGAGTGGACGACATTGAACCCTGGGGCGGCTCCAAGAATCGGGAGCTCCGGGTGTCTGACTTATATCGACTCCGCCCTCTGCCCTCTGGGCCGCCTTGGGAAGGTGCTTTCACCTCTGGGCCTCTGTTTCCTCCTGTGTCCGTGGGAGAGACCCACGCCTGCCTCCCCAGTGGAACACAGTAGGTGCTCAGCGAACACCCTTTCTCATATCCACTCACTGAACTCCCGTGTGGACTGAAGCAGTGGGTTGACGGGACGTTGAGAGAGGGACCCTGCTCCGTGCTCCTGTCTCTGAATTGGTACCTGTCCTACCCTCCGCCACGGCTCATGAATCTGTGCAGGCCCCATGTGATGCTTCTCTTCAAATGAGTTGAGTCAGTGGTCAGCATTTCCTCTCAGAGCTGGCTCCCAAGCCCAGGAGACAGAGGGGTGGGGCCAGGCGGCAGGGGGTGGGGCCAGGAGGTAGGGGTGGAGCCAGGAGTCAGAGCAGCAAGCCTAGGAATCAGAGGGGTGGACCCAGAATGCAGAGGGGTGTGGCAAGGAGAAAGAGGGGGTGGGGCCAGGTGGCAGATGGGTGGGTCTAA